TTGCGAGTACTAATTACCAAGTTCACAGGTTCTGTCGCACATACTCGTTCCTTTTGGAGATTTACTGCTGTGAAGTTTATTATAAAAACTGTTATGTTGAGAGCAACCTGAGCTCTCTTATTTTATCCTTATAAACACATTTTAAACTTGTTCTTAGGACCATGAGTATAATTACTTGGGAAAAAACAAATTTAACTAATCTGAAGCCTCAGTACGAGTAGCGGCATTTTAGTCCTGTGTGATAATGCATGACTTGGTTGTGCACCAGACATAAACAATGTAGATGTTACATTGTGAATCGGTTCATATAGTCATACTGTACATCAAAAAAACGAAGTGGCATCATACTTCCTAAGCAAAACTAAAGCAAAAGGTATTAAGGTGGATAGCTGAATGCAATGTTATGACTCTTCAGAGGTTGATGAAAGTAACACTATATGCGTGCACTCCCTTTGTAAGTCTTGTGTCAAACAGTTTAGTTTCGAGGTGTATATTTCTTGTATTTGCAAACAGAAGCCAAGAATGCGTGGCTTATCCTTGTGGTCGATACTAGGAGCCGGACTTTTCAGACGTTGATATTTGTTAGCCTGACTGTCTGCACTTTCGGATCAATTTTATTCCGTTTAAAGGTACGTGGGGATTGATTAATTTCAAGGTATTATTCACCACGGACTCACCACAGTTGAAAAATCATTGAAAACCTGGGGCGTTAGACAGCCGTTTCTTCCTGGCATGGGACTCAGCAGCGTGCAACTACGACGCTGCTAGTTACCGTGCGCAGGACCATCAGGTCTCGTGGCGAGTATATTAGGGTTAATTATGATACTCTCTGATTGACACCGTTCCTTAATCATCTGAGTTTTCAAGAAAGAAGTGTAAATCTTCCGCAAAAACCATAGATGAACTAGCTCAACCGAAATAGTCTCCTTAGTGATGTTTTTACGCAGGAATAGTGAACCCATCAAAATCAGGTGGGTTTCAAACTTAACTGTGAGTGTATCTGTTAGATCAACATCCTTAGTCAGATCCTAGACTACGAGTATACTCAACAGTACTTATCACTGGTCCCGTCTCTTTGCCTTGGAGCGGGATCTGACTCCGCCAGTTGACAAACATTTTGACGGTGTCTAACTGGAACCAACACCTGATAAGCATATCAAACTACTAAAGGCTGTATAATACAATTTTTGTGCGTTTGCGGTTCATTGGTTTGGATAGGTGACTTGAAACCAATAGGTTGCAAGTTTAAATCTTGTTCCATCTAAAGAGGTTTCGTCAGCCAGATAGTACTATTGATACCCATGGCTATTTACGTAGTTAAATGAACGTAAACGTCATTGATGAGTTAAATTGAAGTCGCAAAAGCCGTAATGGCTTAGTGGTAAACAAAATCTGAACACTGATACGAAATGTTCGATTGAACTTCACTGAATTGCAAAGCTTATAAAACCTGTAAAATATCTGATTTCTTATCAAAAGTCGAGTATACTTCAGAACAATCTACTCTATCCTATTGTGGCTGCATTATTAGACAGCAGATGTTTGATCATTTTCTATATGTGTATATAGAGTGCTCAGTAAGGGAGTTATATCATTTGACAAGGCTGTAAGTCTTTACCAACCGAGATAGCTTGATTATGTGCTGGACTTATCAACGCACTCTCCCCCAACATCATGATGTTAGTTGAAGTAGAGTTGGGTTGGAATTATGTGAAGAATGACCAAACTAAAACACTCTATCAATCCATGAAACCTTTTATTGTTGGTCTGAGTTGTGTGAGGGATAATAGGTCTTCTGTTTAGGGCCCATGAGGCAGTTTTAATCAATGTTTATAACTAAGGTAATAAATCTGTACACCAATCAACACCTTGTCTTCGTATGAATCATTACTTCACACTTATTTATTGGTTTCATTTCCCTTTTCCTGTCTTATTACTTTCTACCTCTGTTGGGATTGTTTCAATTTTGCTTTCTCCTCGAATGGTCTCACCTCAATGTGCTGGCGTGAAGTGTGGTAAGCTGGAGTGTTGGGCAATTAAGTTAGATGTCCATTGAGGAGACCGTCAACTTCGTCTCAATGTTAAGTGAAGTAGATTCAGGGTAGGAAAAGGTTGGAGGTGGCCAAAATAAGACATTGCATCAGTCCCTGAATTCCTTGATTGTTGATGTGAGCCGTGTAGGGTAATGTAAAACAGGTGGATAGAAAAATAAGAGATGAAGGTCAGTGTGAATATTTAAGCTTTGGATGTCAAGGAGTGAATACATTTACGCCATTGTGACTAACTTTCATCCACTTCATCGAGTCCTCAACGACTAATTTCTATCGTCTCGAGGACCTCAACTAGCCAGTCGACACCTTCCTACACGGCTACAGCCATAGTTAAAAACTTTATGGACTGGTACCACATCTTCGCACAAGTGTTTGGGTCGAGAAAATGTTCTTAAGATGAAGATTGGTGACAGTGTTGGTCTTGGTGCATGATCACTTAACATCAACCTACCTAACAAGACGGAGTTCCAAAACGAAGTACTGAAACAACGTATAACGCCTGGTTCTTTTCAGGATGAAAGTTAGACTGAAGCCATTGGAATAATTAGATTGTTTTGGAGGTATGGCCGACTGAGTGTTTTACTTTTACGGAACATGACCACCGTCGTCCCCAACATGATGAATGACTTACATAATATTTGTGATAGTCATCTGGGTATCAGTTTACTACAGGTTACGTCGAAAATGTTGGATGCTGTCATACTTTTCAGGCTTTGTAAGTAGCAGTTCGAATTCCCTTCTGATCATGGATCCATTATTCATGTGTTCACTCCTTTGCCATGTGGTCAAAGACAATCGCGTGTTGCAAGCCAACAATTAGCGGGCTTTGGATACTAGGGTTACATTCGATTCATTAAGCAGCTTTTCTTTGAAGTTGTCGGTTAGGAAAAACAGTTTTAAAACGTTTGCTAACATCTGAACCCCCTGTACAAAATATCTACCATTTCAATGAGAACAGTGTACTTAGATTTCACCCTTCGTCTTCAACTTCACCATCTACCACATTCTGGAGATAGCTTTGAAGGATGTATGTGATAGTCACGGTATACATCTTTTATTGGGAAAAAGACCTTCCTACCTTTCATATGTTATCTTCTTGCTGCATGATAACATACAGGTTATTTAAATCACTCTCACTGCCACTGTTTTTAAGTACGGTTTGCGTTTTCTAGTTTCTGTGATTTTGCAAGATTAACAGGGTCTTGCACTACGCTAGCCATTGGTGTTGAACCGTCGAAAGTGGTCGAAAGTTTTGTTTGTTTGGGTGTATGAGTGCTTGATGGTGTGACTAATGAAATCCCTAACAGTATTTCGAGAGCGTTTTTCTGACCAGGATTCAGAATTGTTGGTGTTGCTGAGAGAAACAACAGGTTGGTCAGGTGTGCAGTATCTTAAGGTTATTAAGCTGTGAAACTTTTCACACTGTATCGTGTTGCATAATTACACAGTTCAAGTCATGCTAATTTTTGGCTCTCTTTGATTCCGCCATCAATCTTAGTCATTTTTAGTATTGTGGTGATCTTAGCCTATCCATAAAGGGTGAGATGTCGAACACTTCAATTCGAGTATTTCTGCCATACTCATGTGAAGTCTAAATTCGCCAAGCTGAAAATGTTCTGCAACTCTATGTTCGATCACCATATAATTTCTGGCACCCAGTGGGAACAGTGTGTAAGTTATTTTTGAAGTATGATATGTATTTGAGCGTAGTGGAGATCGTCAATCATTTAGTCAAGTTATTCCAAATCAACGGCTTTGGTATCTAGACTATTTGTTACGAATTTCATCTCAGCGGCTTCCATACCGTTTCCTGTTTACCATTCCTGGGACTAAAGAAGCGGGGAAGTGGTCAGTCCATGCCTTGACGCTTTGGTTGTAGAAATAGCTATGTTAGGTTAGCATGTGTTGGTGTCTTGCGATCCCTCGGGCAATGCCTGAGAGACTGATTCAGTGCTTTGATATGTTATCAGATGTAGTTTAGAACCGAAACTAATAGGGATTGTACTGTAGCCTTCTTGTTTCTTTTCTCATTGAAAAGCAAACTAAAAAAACATACTTTTTTGAATATCTTTGTAACTACTTTGATAGTCTATTTACTTTCTCACCTCTATTTTTGTTTCCTTCACTGTGTATCACTTTCATTTAATTTTTATATCGTTTCGTGTGGCGCATATCTAATTTCTCATGATGTACAATGTTTTTGTTCTAGATAAAAAATAATTTCTAATCATAATCTTTAGTTTCCAATCTTGGATTTATTTGCTTAGTGAGTTCTAATCAAGAAGCCTACAAATCCTCATATGGGGTTCGTCTACTGGTTCATCAGCTGTTCTATATCCCACTTCAACGTTACCTCCTTAGTGTCTTCATTACTGAAAGTAATTACTGGATGTTACTGGCTTATTAGTTGATTCAAGAAACGGATGTCTATAAGACGTTGGCGAATATTTCTCTTTTTTTTCCAATCGTTTCTTTTGTTCGGAAGATGAACTGTGATATTTCGAAAAGAATATGTGATGCCATATAAAGCAGCAACCTAAGATGAATATACAACCTTTGTTGTACTCAAGCGGACATGGGTTTTAGCTAGTAGTCGGTTCATTTACATGTCACATCACAGTTTAATTTCATTTGACACTTATTTCCCTAAAAATATAAGAGGCAAGATTATTCTTGTTCAGCCTTCACTGGACGGTTTTATAAATTACTTGTTAAAGAATAATATTGTCTCAACAAGTGCTAAAGTGTACTATTTTCCCCACTTGTGTTTTGCATTAAATCTCGCATTTGTGCTCATACTGATGCTTTATGCGTTTACTAGGGCAATAGCATTTTCTATGGTCAGGCTAGGATTGAAATGTTTCGGTTGGGTTACATATGGTTTTTACATAAGATTTATTTACTGCAGTTCCAATAAAATCAACATTATGTTCATATTTTTATAAATAGTGTTTCGAACACGTTGAAGATGGGAAGGATTTCGGTCAAAGTGTTCGGGAAAAAGCACATCGTTTAAGCATGCTCCTCAGAAATGACGAACTTTTGCATGAAGAACGTACTAAGGCTTTACTAGCCCGTGATCGTCTTATGCACGGAGGTCTCGGGACTACAGCATCTGCTGGAGATTCACCAAGTAGATACGGATATTCATCTTCGGGTCGTAGCAGTTATCCCATTGGATATTCTGGTTCCAGTTATTTCGAAAAACCAACTTTGTCCGTACCTTCAAGTACGTCTATGTTTGTTTTCTGAAATGTCCCTCTAAAATATGTTGAATAAACTGTTAGTAACAAGTGCAGTGTCTTCACCATTATTTCAAAACGGACAGCTTGTACGCACATATATATGTTAGGTGGTTGTAGGCGATCTGTGGGAAGTTCTGTTGACCTAGGTTTCGTAATTGTTGGTATTTTTCGGCAAGACATCTGCAACCATGAGAATACTGCTACCCGTTTATACCCAAACATGCATCACCTAATGCTTTAGTCAGACACGTCCAAAATCGCAGATATTCTTAGCTAACGAGTACCAAGAGGTATGACGCCTTTACCATACTGGGCTTCCTACTGGTTTTCTCCAACTATCTGGCATTGATCAAAGTGTACCACGATGACTAGTTTTTCAGCCACATTGCTAAGCGATTGACACAATTCAGTCGATGCTTTGAACTAGACAACATGACACCGGTTACTTTCTACTGACCAATGTAAAGATAAACAGTTGTAAAACTACCCAAGTATTAGTGAGATAACAAAAACAACGATATTCAGTTAGTTTGATAGGCTAACAGGTTGTCATTCATCCCGCCAAAATCCCCATTCGGTAGAGTAATACGATGAGAGATCTCAATAACGGTAAAGTACGCAAATTGTCATTCAGGTTCCACGGGATATAGATATACAGATGGGTGTTTTAGCAAAGGTGATTATATGCATGTCAATTGGTACAGAGGAGGCAGTAAGATTCACCGAAGAAATCATATAGAAGTTTGATGTCAGTAGTTGTTTAATTTGAAGGCGGACAAGTTTATGAGTTGTAAATTCGGTGTAATCCATTGTTTAAAGTTACTGCTTCGTTTTATTTACCTGAAACTTCTGGTAATTTCAGTATATGCTACCGACGATAGTGTGAAGCTATGGCTTTATTAGTTTAGGGTGATGACTTTCAACCAATGAGGTCACGGATTTTGAACACCACTCCACCTACCGAGGTTTGGGTAACCAGGTACTATCATTAGTCCTCACACACTCGATGTGGCTCATCACCCACAGCACGAATTTGCACAAAATTGCTGAATGTATTTCTATTTCAATTCACCAACGATAAGAAATATTTTCTCGTTTCTCGATGCTGCTTTGTTAAAAAATGCATTTGATCCTATATTTTCTCACCATATTTCAGTCGAAAAGGTGTGTGAATTAATCATTTTCAGCAACTTAAAGGAATGGAGTGTATTTAGCTCTCCACTGTCTCACCACAACTAAATATATATTGAGAAATTTCTATTGATATAACAAAATTCATTCAGCAAAGAGCTATTCTTTTCATCTACTTGACAATGAATATTTCCAAAATTATATTGACAAATTCCAGTTTTTATTAAAGCTTTGGAAATCCAAAAGGCATTGCATACTGTGTAAAAGTAATCAGACCAAGATTTATTGAAAGTTATAGTAAGATGTGGTTGTGTAATTAAGTTGTGCAATGTAATACAGTTAAAGAAAACTTGTGCAGTTAAACAATGAATAATTAGAATCATAAGTTAGAGGGATATGTTATAATGGGAGAAGACGTTACAGGATAGTAACGGCGTGTATGAAAGTTTTTTCACAGATAAAGTGTTCACAGTTGTAGCCCATTATGAGTCTAATGAATGAACCAATTCCTCTTGTGTGAAATGTTCAAGCTGTAAAGTATGAATGACCATTACTCCTCAATTTGAAGAAGTAGTATTTGTATAGTTTTTCATAGAATTCTCACTTACTCTGCAGATGCTGATACTGAATTGAGATCGTTGGTTCACCCGACGTCCAGAATCAGTGGACAACACATACTTTTACTCTTTTTTTTAATATTGAAAGGTTCTACACTGTTTCATTTGTCTGTCTACACCTTGTAGTATCAAATGAAATACTAAAACATTTAAAACGTATCCTCATTGACTCTATGTTACTCTCGTCTCCGTTATTTTTACTACTCGCCCTCGATAATTGGCTGGTCAGGACATAACATTTTCGTCAAAATTTTTGGGGTTATGCAATCATCTTTCAGTTGCTGGTATAGCTGGTTATAATAATTTAACTATCTTCACTTTCAGAATCGCCCGTCCCTCATGCTTCAACTGAACTAGAATCGGTGAGGCCTCAGTCTGCTGGAGAGGAACAACTTCATCTTCAACTTGCTCTAGCTATCAGTAAAGAGGAACATGATCGAGAGGAACGCCGTAGACGAGCTGAAGAAGCTAAAGAGGAAGCTAAGGTACAGATGGTTATAGAACAGAGTCGTCGAGAGGAGCAGGTAATTTGTTTTCACTATCCTTATGTACTTACGTCAAGGTAAACTGTGTTATAAATAGAATTTTAAAGTGAGTATTCTCAGCAGTCTTTTGATCACTTATTTTTGTTTTATAAAGGGCCCAATGTAAATGCTACTGCTTTCTTTTTTAGTTTGTCTTTATTTGACAACATCAGTTAAACAGTTATAGATCTTCAGTAACCATAAGACGAATTCTTTACTACAAACCTTGGTCGAAATCAGGAGTTTTGAGAATAAACTCAGCTTTTAGCACTGCCAAACTTAAAATGTTGATAAGGTTCCTAAACTAGTCATACTTCTGTAACGACTACCTATTGTTAGGTTTTCGTTCAGTTTTTAGAAAAGTTGTTGCAGAGAGGACAGTAAGTGGAAGAGTGTGCGTTAGTTTCGTGATTGTAGTTTGTCCAGCCAGCGCGAAAATCTAAAAGAAGGAAGGGAAAAAACACATAAGCTGACTTTTCAGTGAGCAGAAAAGTAGATTTCTCACGTGTTGTGACATCATGAAATCTACTTCAGCGAGTAAAAATTGCACAAGTTGTCGCATGTTCAAACAATATTTTCGATAATAATCATTCCTAGTGGAACACAAGGCTTCAGTAGCACGTCTCCAATGCGCTCTGTTCTCTGCAGTCTTTTAAACCTGACTCCACGACAGCCGAGAAGCTCTCATTTCCTCCTCGCACAATCTCCTCCACGTCACCCTCGGACGCCCAACTCATCGCTTCCCCTCGCGGTCCACTCGAGGACCTGAAGCGTGCTGTCCCCAGTCGACCTTCTCAGTGAATGCCCAATCCAATCCATCTCCACTTCTTTCTGCATATTTTTTGGGTGATAGGTTCTTGGTTGCTTCGTTCTCAGAGTTCCTGGCCATCTGATCTGATCTTCAGTAACGAGCCAGCGTAGGCAGTTGTTGATGAATGTCTATAGCTTGTTGGAAATCCCTTTCGTAACGCACAAGGCTTCTCAAGCATATAGCAGCAGCACTGACTTGACTGAATTAGTGTTGAAAATCCGGATCTTGTTCACGCTTAATGCTGAGTGCAGTAGATCTCCACACTGATTTCAGGTTAATGCAGGAAGGCCTGTCTTGCTTTTCCGATCCTGGTTTTTACATCCTCATCTGTGCCACCTGTAGTTGGAACGATGCTGCCTAGGTAGGTGAGAGAGACTACTTCCGTTAGATTTCTCCCGTTTATGGTGATTGGTTATTTTTGTTGATGTTGTTGTTAGTTGAGTATCTTCATCCCCTCCGTCTTCTCTACATTCACTTGAAACCCCGTCCTCGCTGCCTCTTCTGTCAACTTGTTAGTTTTCGCCTGCAGATCTTCGAGTTTGTGCGATATTAGACATAAATCATCATGAGCGAAATCCAAATTTTCTAGGGTCTTTTCATGGGTCAAGCCAGCGTATGCTCTTCTCCGCGCTCCTCACAGTTTGTTACATGATCCAGTCGACCACAATCAGGAAGATCATCGGTGATAGTGAGCAGCAACCTTGTCTTACTCCTGTCTTCACTTCAAAGGCATCGCTGAGCTTTCCACTATGAATCACTTGGCATGTAGCATCATTTAGCATGTAGCTGTTGAATGAGGTTGATAAAAGTCTATGGCACTGAAACCGTAGTGTTGAAGCAAAAAACTGCCAAATTACTTCTCGGTTGATGCTGTCGAAGGCCTTTTCAAAGTCGATAAAGTTGAGGTTGAGTTGATTGCCATTCTATGCTCTGTTCTATGATGATGCGTAGCGCAGCGTTGCAATTTGGTTTGGACATGATTTGTACTTCCTGAGGCCAGCCAGCCAGCCTGTTCCGGTCGTAATTTAGAATGCAGAGCACTTTTTAAAGTCTCCAGGATGATGTGGCCTAATATTTATCTTGAGGTGGACAGGAGCATGATTCCTCGCCAGTCCTTGGAAAGACTTAGGTCTCCCTTCTTTGGAAGTTTGACAAGGTAGCCCTTCTTCCAATCATTGGGCAGGTACGTTCCCTTCCTTGCGAACCTGCAGTAGTGGTGTGAGCATGTCCATTGTTGTCTCTGCATCTGTTTCCAGTGCTTCTGGTGGAATTCCATCTGGTCCTGCTGCTTTCCCGAATTTCAGCAACTTTGTGGCATTCAGAAAAAGACATCTGCTTCTGTTGGAGGGCTTGTGTACACTGGTAGTTCTGCGGTTGCTGGTGGTATATCTGGACGAGTTGCAGGTGGTGGTCGATTCAAGAGAATTTTGAAGTGGTCAGGTGATTGTTTCTTTTGTTACTCCTCTTTGTTGACTAAGTCTCCTTCACTATCTTTCATTGGTTTCGTCTGTGTTGATCTCTTCCCAGATAGTAACGTGGTTATTTGATATAGTGTTGTCAGAAAAAAGTCTCTCCTACCTGCAGCCTGTTCTGCTTCACTAGTGTGTCGTAGAAGTGTTTTTTGTCTTTGCACGCACTCTCCTTCACTTCTTTGCCCAGTGTAGTGTTTTATGGGTTGTATTCAGTTCCTCTATTATTTGTTCATAAAAAAAAAACCTTGGACTGCATTAGTTCATCTTCTGCTTCACTATCTTCCTCTCCTCTATCAGCTTCCTGTGTCCGTGGAGATCCATTCCTTGTCTAGTTTCTTCTTCCTTCCCAATATGGTTGTGTAGGTTTCTTTCCACATAGCTTTCAAAGAGTTCCAGTGTTCTTCCACGCAGGTTCCTTCAGGGATGTTGCTCAATGTCTCCCATTTTGTTCTGATGGTTGGTGTGAAGATGTTCTTGATAGCTTCGTCAAAAATTTCAGTTTCTGTTCTGGGTGTTAAACTGGGACTGTGGTCGTCTATGACCAGCTTCTTTGAAAGCTTTCAACTTGATTTTGAAAAACACTTGCACCAGATGGTGAGTGGTGTGAACCTATATCTGCTCCCCTTCTTGATGTTGTGTCGAGTAGGCTGCATCTCCACTTTCTTGAGATTGAGTTGAAGTCGATCTGATTTTAGTGTGTCTGGTGAAATCCGTGTCATTAAATTGTGAATATCCTTGTGTTTTTACACGCTGCCAAAAATCGAACCACCAGATCATTAAATGCGCAGGAGTTTGCAAAGAGTTCTCCATTCTCATTCATCTCACCGGGTGCTTTGCGATCCATGATGAGTTTTCTTCCTGTGTTGTTCACTCCGAGTTTGGCATTCATGTTATTCATTGGAATTTTGATGTCGCCAAGTGGAGTCTTGTCCTGTACTGATTGCAGTTGTCCGTAGAATTTCTCCTTTTTCTCTTGCTCTGCATTATTTGTAGGAGCGTAGCATTGTATGATTGTGACTTTCCTTTCTTTTGAGTTGAATCTTTCTGTCATGATCGTTTAGGAGATTGGTTCCCACTGCATGAGAGCCTTCGATGCTGTTGGGGACATCATGATAGCCACTCGAAAACTTGGTGTGCTGGTGGTTGTCGTCTGTGTGACAATATCGGAGTAGATTATTGACTCTCCAGTTAAGAGTTTGGAGAGTCGACTTCAATTGAATCTGCTTTCGCAGATTCCTAGCACTTCTATGCTATACCTTCTCATTTCTTTTGCAACCTGGGCAACCTTGCTAGGTTCAAACATAGTGTGGACATTCCATGTCCCTATGCTTACTTTCGCTTACATTGAGAGAAGAGAAGACACATCGGGCGACTGGTTTCCCGAAAAAAGGTTGTCACCAATTGGCGTTATTTTGTCAATCCGATTTCAGCGAGGAATAAGTTTATTTTTATTTTTTATATTTTCTCTATGCTTTGAAGTTTCTTGAGCGGTTAGATTTGTTTTCCGGGGTAGGGTTGTTAACCCTATATCCTACCTTCACTCTTTTACGCGGGCGTAGAACCGTGTAGTGAACTGATGAACGAGGCGATGTTATATATATATATATATATATATATATATATATATATATATATATATATATATATATATATATATATATATATATATATATATATATGTAGAGAGAGAAAGAGAGGGAGAGAGAGAGATAAATACACTATGTATATTACTAAACTTTGGACTTTTATCTTTCGAAGTCAAATGCTTGAAAGTCGTGTTTTTAGTGATGTGAATGAGAAGAGGGGAATGTTGATTATTGTGGAATGACTTTATTACGTAGGAAGATCCATGTGTGATTTCCTAGGTTGTGATACGAAGTTTTCTGTTTGTTGCGTCGCTTGATTATTTTCCGCATTTTTTACTATATGATACACTAAGAAGTTAAAACCTGGTCAGTTACTGATCAACTGTAAGCCTAGAAGGGTTCAAAGATATCCTGTGCTCTTCATCGATGGCAGTTCACGTCATTTTCCGAACTACCTCTACATTTCATTGTATGTATACCTCTAAACGCCTAGAAGACATGTGTACACCTCTTCTCTCCTCTTTTCCGACATTCATGTGGCAGAATAGTTTCAAAACTTTTAAGTAAGTCTTATGTTTGTAATCCATTCAGTCTATTGAGGTTCTTGTCAGCTAGACAGTATTATTATTCATTGCACAATGAATGTTTTGTTATCTTGTTATATGGATTTCTGTATGGTCGTTAAGTTGGAATTATTACTATGTTGTATGATTTCTCAGTTTCGTTTTGGCAGAGTACTACGTTTTCACCAAAGTTCTGTGCATGTAGGTGGTCGAATAGTTATCATAACGAATTAATATTACTGCTTGGATAAAATATGAATCTGATAGTTCCGTGAATCAGAGTGTGTCTGAAGTCATTGTTCAAGCTTAAACTGGTTTTGGTAGGAAATGAAATATAAACGAAAGCTTATGGAAGATCAGTGGAATGTTACACGACTGAGTTCTATGTCCAATTATCTGAAAGTCATGTTTTTCGGAAGATGAGTGGATAAGTTTCTGTCAACTGTAGTACTATATAGATGACCGGTTAGTTGCAAAGTAGTTAGATTTTAGGCTTGTTAAGTGATACCCCGTTGGAACTGGTCTTCCAATATAAAGCCTTTCAAAATATCCTGTGTTCACACTAACG